ATAGTTATGATGAGCTAGAGTGCCTCTTTCAAAATTTTGAATTTCATGGCCCCAGGATCAGGGGTTCTGGTGTTAGGGCAGGGCTCTATTGATTATATAGTAGAATTGCAATAATTTTCTCTGCTCCTGGGTATTAAGTACATAGTTATGAAGAATAAGAGTGCCTCTTTCAAAATTGTGAATTTCATGGCCCCAGGGTCAGAGGTTCTGGTGTTAGGGTGGGGCTCTATTGATTATATAGTTAAAATGCATTAATTCTTTGAAAATCTTCTCTGCTCCTGGGCATTAAATAAAGTAACTTAGTACATAGTTATGATGAGCAAGAGTGCCTCTTCCAAAATTTTGATTTTCATGGCCCTTGGGTCAGGGGTTCTGGTGTTAGGGCAGGGCTCTATTGATTATATAGTAGAATTGCATTAATTCTTTGAAAATCTTTTTCTCTGCTCCTGGGTATTAAATAAACTAACTAAGAACATAGTTATGGTGAGCATGACTGCCTTTTCAGAAATTGTTTCATGGCCCTTGGGTCAGGGGTTCTGGTGTTAGGGATGGGCTCCATTGATTATATAGTAAAATTGCATTAATTCTTTGAAAATCTTCTCTGCTCCTGGATATTAAATAAACTAAGTACATAGTTATGATGAGCATGGCTGCCTCAGAAATTATGAATTTAATGGCCTCTGGGTAAGGGGTTCTGGTGTTAGGGCGGGGCTTTATTGATTAGATAGGGAATTGGCATGAATTCTTTCAAAATCTTGTGTGCGCCTGGATATTTTTCAAACAAAGGAAGTGCATGGTTATGATAAGGAAGAATGCCTCATGGCCTTTGGGTCAGGGGTTCTGGTGAGGGGGAAAGAGCTCTATTGATTATATATAGTGAAAATGCATAATTTCTTTCAAAATATTTTTTCTACTACTGGTTATAAAGTAAAGAAACAAGTGTATAGTTATAATGAGAAAGGGTGCTTCTTCCAGAATTGTGAGTTCGTGGCCAATGGGTCAGATGTTCTGGGTAAGGATGGGGCTTTATTTATTTAATTTTATGGTGAAAATGCATTTCTTTGAAAATCATCTATGCTTCTGGGGATGTTCAAGGCAAACAGAGTAAAAGTTTTAATATGCAAGGGTATTTTTACCAGATTTTTGAACACCTGGACCATTTAGTCAAGAGTTCTAGTCCTGGCCAGGGCTCTATTAACTTGTATTCTGCTGAGCAAAGTTATTCCCCTTTGCCATTCACCTTTGATAATTAATCAATGTAAATAATGTATTTGAAAGCTTAATAGAATAAGAGAATTATGCAAGATAATTTATTGTATAATGAAAATGTACTTTCATAGATTTAATGACTTGGAAAGTCAGATAGGCAGATAGATACTAGACCAATTATTTTGTTGATGCTAATCATACTATTTTTCTTGCTTTTGGGCAACAAAGCTTCATTTTTCAGTTTATGGATCCTCTAAATTGTTGTATTGTACTCAGGTGACCGTTAAGGCCCTTGGGCCTCTTGTTATGGAAGCATCCTCAAGTAGTGTAGATTCAAGTTTGTTCAAATCATGACCCCTGGGGGTAGGGCGGGGCCACAATAGAGGATCAAAGTTTTACGTAGAAATATATAGGAAAAATCTTTATAAATCTTCTTCTCAAGAACAGCAAAGCCCTGATTGGTCATATTTATTTGGAAGCATCCTCAGGTAGTGTAGATTGAAGTTTAGTCAAATCATGACCCCTGGGGGTAGGGTGGGGCCACAATGGAGGATCAAAGTTTTACATAGAAATATATAGGAAAAATTTTAAAAATCTTCTCAGGAACAGCAAAGCCCTGATTGGTCATATTTATGTGGAAGCATCCTCAGGTAGTGTAGATTCTATTTTGTTCAAATCATGACCCTCCAGGGGTAGGGTGGGGCCACAATGGAAGATCAAAGTCTTGAATAGAAATATATAGGAAAATTTCTTCTTCTGAAGAACTGCAAGCCATGATTAGTCATTTTGATATGGAAGCATCCTCAGATAGTGTAGATTCAAGTTTGTTCAAATGATGACCCTGGGGGTAGGGTGGGGCCCAATTGGGGATTGAAAGTTTTACATAAGAACATATAGAAAAAAATTTCTTCTCAAGAACAGAAAAGCTATGTTTAGTCAGATTGATATGGAAGCATCCTCAGGTAGTGTAGATTCAAGTTTGTTCAAATGATGACCCCTGGGATAGGGAAGAGCCACAATGGGGGATCAAATTTTTACAAAGGAATATATGGGAAATTTTTAAAAAAAAAATCTCAAGTACAACAAAGCCATTGGTTTAATTGACTGATTTGTGCTTTTGCCTAGCCAATGTGCTCAGGTGAGCGATGTGGCCCATGGGCCTCTTGTTTTTTTTTTTTCTTTTATTTATGGGACATTAAATTTTATGATATTTGAATTAATCACTGGAATAACAATTCATCTGCAATGATATCTCATCACATAGCATGTTCATGTAAATGTTAAGTCATAC